GATGGATGGATGGATGGATGGATGGATGGATGGATGGATAGATAGAAAATGAATGTTTTATACCTAAATGCCTGGCTTATGTTTTAATGTGAGATGAGATGTTTTAAATAGTTTTAAAAAACATGTTTTATAGATGGAAACTTTAAAACTGAGCTAAACTTGACTGCTAATGCTAACATCCTGTAGGTTTCTTTATGGCACTAAAAGTCTAACCTGTGTGCTAATTTACCTGAGATCCTCTTGTCAAAGTAAACATAACTGGGTCCATCTCTGGTGATCTTCTTCCATTCAATCCTGGGATTTGATGTGGTAATAGACTCGATCAAACATGACAATTCAACCTCTGCAGAAACAAAGAGTCAAAGGCGTGAGCTAACTGGTTTCGGACTGATGGGTGTTCTGGCATTTAAAATAAATAAATGAAATGATGTGAAGCTCTCACTGTCAAACTCATTTGTCCAAGGAGATTCATTGTTTGTTTTTAGTACCACTGCTAACACGCCCAGGTAACCTGAAAAACAAGAAGAGGAAGGAACGTGAGACTGATGTTGGCTTCGTTTTAGAAGATGAATGAAATACATATACATATATATATATACATACATATACATACATACATACATACATGTACATACGTACATACATATACAGTATATATATATACATACATATACAGTATATATATATACATACATATACAGTATATATATATACATACATATACAGTATATATACTGTATATATATACATACATATACATACATACATACATACATGTACATACGTACATACATATACAGTATATATAGCATTTTTAAAATTTACTTTATCAACTTGTCTTCTGAAGATGCTCTGTGTTGAAGGATCAGTGGATCTGTGTTCGACTACTCCACCTAGGCTGCAGTTTTGAGTGCAGATCCACTGAGAAACTTGCTGTTTCAGCAAAATTTACAGCAAGATTTAATTTAAAAACTGTACTTTTGAGGTTAAAGAAAGGTTCATAATTAATTTAAATAAATTACAAGTTAAAAAAGGGGCATGGAAATTTCTCATTTTTGTATCGAAAAAATATCGAACCGTGAGACTAAATTATCGAACCGAACCCAGTCGTGAATTTTCTGTGTCGCTGCACCCCTTATATAT